AAAACTACCACACAATTAATGTTTGGAGAATTATACTAGGTGCTCAGTAAATAGTAAATGATGAATTAATTCATTGAATAAGTTAGAGTTGCTGTCTGGAGCTCCTCTAACATATTTCTTTTCGGTCTAATCCAGAAGAGTCCTGGACTGTTCATTTAGTTCACAGGCACTAAAGTGGAGGTAACAACAGCTGCCCAACTAATTTTCTAGAGCTCTGCAAAATCTGTATGATCACGTAGCTCAGGCTCTTTGAGTCTCAGATTCTTCACTGAAGTGGGGACTCTAAACCCTACATTATAAGGTTGTTGTTGTTATTGCTAAGTGCTGTCAAGTTGTAGACAACTCATAGCAACCCTATGAATGAAAGACCTGAACACTTTTATAACTTTCATAGTTTCTCTGAATTCATAGAGTTTCCAGAGGCAAGTTATTTAGGAAGTGGATATCACTCCTGCTTCTAAGCCTGTTTTAATCTGGGAGCTCCACCAAACACTGTCCACCATGGGTAACATGTAAAAGAGTACTAGTTCATTTTACCTTTCCTTAAATTTGTAAAAAATTAAGCAGCAAAGATTTACAACACTTTGGGGCTCAATAACTTTTTGCATTATAAGGCAGTTAGGAGAATTAAATTATATAATTGATGTAAAACATAGCACAAAGAGCTTAGTCACTCCTATGAATTTCCTTCTGAAGTTGATTGGATGCTTTAGGTATAATTTATTATATACAAGTGTAAAGTATATGTGGAATGCTAGGTGTCACTGTGGCAGGAACTGACACACAAGCTCTCCAATCCATGCCTCCCACATGTCACCTGGTTAGATACCACAGCCCTAAAGAATTATAGCTTTCAAGAATTACAGTTAGGCAATGCTTCACCCACGATTTCATCAATATTTAGTCTCGGTCAGTACTCAGGGCATTGACCCTGCTCACCATTTCCTCCTCCTCCACAGTGAGCCTGTGAGGATTCTCCGTTTGGGGGAAATGTTTCTTGTAGTCTGTATCCTTCAATTTCGTATAGACATAGATCACCAGATCTGGAAATAGCTTCTGAAAATATCTGCAAGGATCTCCAATTATCTGTTGTAAACTGAAAGGAAACATAAGCAGTTTAGCATACTTTCTTCCCCACTTCACAACACATTAACCTGAGGAGCTCTTTACTTCATTCATTTCCATAGCAAAATGGGAAGGGACTTTAGAATTTGATAGAACAAGAGTCAGATCCTGTCACTTCCATTAATCTTTGGGGACTTAATCTTTTTGAAGCATAGTTTTATCAAGCATAAAATAGAGATAAAACAATTTCACCATCAGTGAGTCCAAAATGATCTGTAGAAAAGAAAATATCTCTGCATATAGAAAAGTTTTAAGTTTGTAGCTAATGTTTTTGGTTGAAAAAGTTGACAAAATTAGCTTGCATGTGCTATTTTTCAGATTTCTATGATTCTACAACATTTCACTCAGATCCCCAGTTCCCTTGTGTCTCTTCACATACAAAAAAGGTCAGTAACCCATTGTCAAGGGGACTCAGACAGACTGACAAGGAAGATTATAGCTCAGCCTTTCTTTTTAGTACAATGACTCTGTATACCCTTTCCATCTTCTTTTAATACATCCTGGATCATTCCACATTCTGCCCTCAGCATCCTTAAGCATTGCAACTCACAGATTGAATTTGTTCTTTAGTTCCTTCAGCTTAAGAAATGCTTAGCAAGTTATCCCTTTTGATTTTCTGACTCCAGCTCCTTGCACATTTCATTTTAATACTTTGTCTTATCTTTCCGAGCTGCCCTTTGAAATCTTACATTCAGCTTCTTATTGATTTCTTCCCTTTGTATTGACTTCTTGTGCATTGTGCAATATTCAGAGTCTCTTCTTACATGCATTTTGGTCTCCTTCCTCCACCTTTGTAATGACTCCTGGCATTCTTCATGGACGATATTCTTGATATCTTCCCACAGCTCATCTGGTCTTCATTCATTAGTGCTCACAATCTGTTACAGAATTGGTTTTTAAACTCAGGGAAACTTTCTCCTTGGAGGCTAGGATTTTGAAGCTCTGTCTCACTTAATTTGGGCATGTGGCCAAGAGGTCCTTGGAGAAGGACAACATGCCCAATTGGAGCGGGGGGGGTGAACACAGGAGAGGTAGATGAGATGGACTGATACAGTAACTGGGGCATTGGGGGTTGGTGTGTCAGAGTGAGACTGGCTATGGACAGGGAAGGCTTCAAAGCTGCTTTACTTAAGGTCACTCTGAGTCGCAATCTTGGATATGCTCAATCCCATTGTTACAGTCACTGTGTCTGTTTGTCGTATTGAGGGTCTTCCTCTCTTTCTATGATCTTCACCTTCCCTATTATAATGTACTTTTTCAAGGACCAGTCCTTCCTGAAAACATGCCCAAAGTATGTGAGATGAAGTTTCACCATTCTTGCCTCTAAGAAACAGGGCAGTTGCTCTTCCTCCAAGACAGACTTCTTAAGAGTGATTTATAAAGGGTGGACAGTTGGTGCTGCTGTTGTTGTTATGTGCCATTGAGTCACCTGTGAATCAAAATGACCCTATGTACAGAACTGACTTATAGCTCAGGATAGAACAGAGTTCAGAGCAATTGTACATAAGGTCTCTATGAGTCACAGGTGACTTGATGTCACATAACAACAGCAACATTGTGATGTTCTGGTGACCTACTGGCAAGAACTTGCATTGCCAACCCAAATTAAGTGGTTCAAATCCACCAGCTGCTCCAAAGGAGAAAGATGAGCAATCTCTTCCCATGTGTTTTACAGCCTCTGCCAGTTTGGAGGGTCAGCTATAAGTCAGTTCTGACTCAATGACATATAACCAGGATGACAACAACAACAACATTATACTTCAGGATAGGCACTGAGATATTCTTTTTGGTAATGAATGAAACACCATTTCTCTGCAGGACACTATACCCAACATGATAGACTATATAATTGTCTGAAGGGTTGACTTGCCAACTTGGCCTCATGTTGGGGCTGGGGCTGAATGAGGAGATCAGCAGGTCTGGAAATCAGGGAGAAGTATGGACTTCTGAACTTGTAGTGCATGCCCATTTGAACCTAGCTACAGATGGCTGAGGATGAGTTGACCAGAACTCAACCAGAAGAAGAGAAGATGATCTACGCAGAGAGGTAGGGCCAAATGCTGCTTGCCCTGGACTGAACTTTGCTTGTGGATACAGATGCTCAAAATTTCCAAGCTGAACTGAGGATTCTTCAGCAAAAGGAGCACGCTTGTTCCCTCAAAGCACTGGTTTGATCAGAATGGGCAAACCAGAAATTGGCTATTTAAAAGAAGGATGTTAGGGAATGAGGCCTGAAGTAGCTGGCTTCCATGCTTACATAAATGCAGTTATCAGTAAGATGAATCTGAGGAAAAAACCTACAAAAAATGTGATTCTACCAAAAGGAAAAAAAATATATGTATGAAACATAAAGTAAATGAAAGACTATAAAACACAACATACATGCATGAAATATAACATATTAGAATGACAAAAATATTAAATAAAAATGTAAAAAATAAAGATTCACTAATGCCAAGGATAAAAGAGACTTGGTGGGATAGTGTACATGTAGTGTATTAGGCTCCTTAGTGAAAAGTTGGCAGTTTGAATCCAATAGTTCCTTCACAAGAGAAGGACTGACAGACTCCCAGAGGATCATTGTGACTTAGATCAACTAGACAACAGTGGGTTAATGCCTATTGTGGTATTGTTATGTGCTGTCTAGTTGTAACCAACTCACAGCTGATACTCCAGCAGGTTTTCAGAGGCAGTAAATCGCACAAGAGGAGAATGACTATCATTCCATAGAGCAACTGGAGGATTCAAACTGTGAGCCTTTGAGTAGACAGCATCACTCCTTACCACTAAACAACCAGAGATCCCTAAGGCTAATGCCTACGGTATTAATGTGCATGTTTCTATTTTGTTGTTGTTGTTATTGTTATTGTTAAGTGCCATTGAGTCGAACATGACTCATAGTGACCCTTATGAACAAAAGACCTAAATCCTGTTCTATAACTATCGTCGTTTCTCTAAGTTCATAGAGTTTCCAGGGGCATGTTGTTCATGAAATGGATACCACTCCTGCTTCCAAGCCTGTCCTACACTGGGAGCTCCACCAAACACTGTCCACCATGGGTGACCATTATGACATTTGACACACTAGTGGCACAGCACTCAATATCACAGCAACCCTAAGTTACCTTAATAGAGCAAACTGACAGGCCATTTAGAACATTCATTCTAAACACAATTAAAAGCAATTGAAGCCTCCTGTTTAAAGCAAATCAGGGCCTGGGGAATGGGCATGGGCATTGAAAGGTCAGCTGTGTTCTGAGTGAGACTTCACTTTGGAGGATCATGTGTGAAGTTTCATTGTTGACAACTTTCAATTTTCATACTTAATACAGTCCACATTTCAATTATTAAAAGATGCCTTCAGGTGGGTCCACCTCCCATTTTAAATCATGCCATATCAGCTTATGAAAGTCCACCAGCAAATGAAGTTTTATTTCATGAACATCATCAATGTCAATGCTACTTTGAAGAGGCAGCTATTTCCTACTCATAAATTCCATGCCTTTCAATAAATGGGCTCATTGCCCAGCACTATGTCAATGTTTTCCCTGGCTAATTAAGTCAGCTAACATCAGCTACAATATCCATAGTACCACGACCCCTTCTAAACCCAGCCTGGACTTCTGGTAGTTCTCTATTGATGTGTTGTTCCAGTCATTTTTGAATAATCTTCAGTCAAATCTTGCTTGCATGTGAGATCAGTGAGATTGTTCTGTAGTTTCCACATTCTGTTGGGTCACCTTTCTTTGGGATAGGAACAGATATCGATCTCTTCCAGTCAGCTGGCCAAGTGGTCGTTCTCCAGATTTCTTGGCACAACTTGGTGAGCACATGCAGGGCATCTGTTAACTGAAATATGTCAATTGGTATACCATCTATTCCTGGAGCCTTATTTTTTGCCATTTCCTTCAAAACAGCCTGAACTTCTTCTTTCATCACCATAGGCTCTTGCTCATATGTTGTTTCATGAAATTCTTCTGTGTCTTCCAATTCCTTTCGATACAGTGACTCAGTATATTCCTTCCATCTTCTTTTAATACTTCCTGGATCATTTAACATTCTGCCGAAAGCATCCTTGATTATAGCAACTTGAGGTTTGAATTTGTTCTTCAGTTCCTTGAGCTTAAGATATGCTGAGCGAGTTCGGCCCTTTTGATCTTCTGACTCCAACTCCTTGCACATTTCATTGTAATATTTTGCTTTGTCATCCCGTGCTGCCTTTTGAAATCTTCTATTCAACTCTTTAGTATCTTGAATTCTTCCTTGTGCTTTGGCTTCTCTGCGCTCCAGTGCAATTTTCAGAGTCTCTTCTGACATCCATTTTGGTCTTCGCTTCCTCTTCTGTCTTTGCAATGACCGTTTGCACTCTTCCTGGATGATACCCTTGATATCCTCCCACAACTCATTTGGCCTTTGCTCGTTAGTGTTCAAAGACTCAAACCTGTTCCTGAGATGGTTCTGAAATTCAGGTGGGAGAGACTCAAAGTCATATTTTGGTTGCCTTGGATTTGGTTTAATTTTCCTCAGCTTCAGCTTCAATTTGCATGTGGCTCCTTGGAGACAAGGATTCTGAGGCTCCGTCTAACATACTTTGGACATGTTGTGAGGAGAGACCGGTCCTTGGAGAAGGACATCATGCTTGAGAGGGTGGAGGGACAGCGCAGGAGGGGAAGGCCCTCTATGAGGTGGACTGATTCAGTGACTGGGATAATCGGGATGGAGTGTCAGAGACAGTGCGATTGGCACAGGACAGAACAGAGTTTAGGGCTGTTGTACATAGGGTCGCTATGAGTCGCAAGCGACTCGACGGCCCATAACAACAAAAACAATTAAGTCAGAAGTCAACTTCTGGTATTGCTTCCTAGTTTACCTGCAGTCTCCACTGAAACCTATCCACCACCATCAGACACCCTGCTGGTATCTAAAATACTTGTTGCATAGTTTGTAGAACAACAGATTGATCTCATAGGGTCACTGTTAGTTGTACTTAACTCAAAAGCACCTAACAACATAGTTTACAGCAACAAGCAAACCACCATAGTAACAAAACTGATAGCTGAGTAGAGTGGGCAAGTAAGTAAATACTTACTCATTATTCCTTTCCTCATGATAATGTTCTCCAAGATTCCGAATGAACTTTAGCAGGTCACCCACAGTGTTCTTGTAGAATTTGCGTTTGCCTTTATAGAATGAGTTCATTTTAATCATAACACATTTGTCAACCTAAGAAGCAAAAGTATTATGTAAAGATATGGTGACAACACAAAATCAATACTAATGAACTTCTCATAGGAAAAGACAAAATATAAATTTTCTAATATGACATAATTACTACTAATTAATAAAGTAAATGGACAGAAATAAAAGAATGGAAGTAAATACTGTTTACCAAAATGTTAAGTGAAGTAAGTCCTCACCACTGGACTGATAAGCAACCTCGTGTTGTTGTTGTTGTTCTTGTTGTCATTGTTTTGTACCATTAAATCTAATGGACTCACACCTGACCCTCCAATGGGTTTTCAGAGGCAATAATTGCACAGAAGGAGATTTCCCATCCTTCTCCCACAGAGCAGCTGGTGGATTCAAACCTTCTGCATTTGGGATTGAAGCACAGATTCTTACCACTGGCCACCAGAACTCCATGGCAGATGGAGATAATATATGGAAATGGTCAACAATTTCATCTTACTTGGATCCACAATCAACTTTCTAGATATCAGCAGTCAGGAGACCATGAGACAAATTGCACTGGGTAACTCAGGGACTTCTCCAAATTACTGAGGAACAATGATGTCAGTTTGATCACTGAAGTCTGCCTGATTCAGGTCATGGTCTATTCAAATTACATGCTATACATCTGAGAGATGGACAATGAATAAGGATAACAGAAAAAGAATTCATGCCTTTGACTTTTGGTGCTGGAGAAGACTAATGAATCATGGGTTGCCAAAAGAACAAACAGATACATCTTGAATAAAGTGCAGTCAGAATACTCCTTGGAGACAAGGATAATGAAGATTCATTTCACATACTTTAGACATGCCATGTTGCTAGGAGAGGCTATTTCTTGGAAAGGGATGTCATGCTTGGAAAAGTGGGAGGGTCAGTGAAAGAGAAGAAAACTCTCTACCAGATAGATTGATAAAGTGACTCTAGCAATGATCGCAACTGTATCAAAGACGATGAGGATGGCACAGGTTAGGACAAGGCTCAGATCTGTCCTTCATAGAGTTGCTATGAGTGGACTCGACTTGATGGTACCTAACAACAACAAAATGTTAAGTGTAGTCCTTTCAAGATATATGGGATTTTTTTACCCATCCACCAACTCCCACAGAATCCATTCTAATTCATGATGGCCCTCCACTGGATTTTTGAGGCTGTGATTATTAAGAACAGACTGCTTCATCACTCTATCAGAGCAGCTGATGCATTAAAACCAGCAAGCTTTAAGTTAGCGGGCCAGCAGGGACCAGCTATGCCAACAGAGTTTCTACAAGCTTAAGTGGAGTTCTATTAGGACATAGGATTTTAAGTAACTTAATACATACCACTGTTTTCCAAGTAGATTGTTTTTTGTTGTTTGTTGTTGTTGTTTTTCTGCTTGTGCATTTTTAAAAATTATTATTAATTTTAATAAACATTTACAGAGACTTTGGATTTCCATTCATTCATTGTTGCATTTTTCTCCCTGACCACCCCTCTCCCCCCAACCCCAGTTTGTGCTTCTCTTTGAAAAGTAAAAGAAAAATTCTTTCATTGTTATACAATTCCCCCTCCCCTGCCATTGAGTCCATTCCACTAGGCAGCCTTCATTCTGGACCCCTGTCATGATAATAATACCTAATAATATATTGTTTTTAAACAGTTCTCTCACTCATCTGTTTCAATGCAGTATACATAATTTATCCAATCTTTCTCAGTCTTCCCCCAACCCTGACATCAATTCCGTTTCACAACATGGCACTATGCAATATTTGTCCTTTTGTGACTGAGATATTTCACTCAGCATACTGTCCTCCAGGGTCATCCATTTTTAATAATATTTCTTAAGTTATTTGTTTTTCAATGCAGCATAGTATTCCATTGTGTGAATATACCAGAGCTTCTCTATCCATTCGTTTGTTGACGGGCACTTAGGTTGTTTCCAACTCTTTGCTATTGTGAACAAAGCTGTAATAAACATGAATGTACATATATCTGCCTGGGTGGCAGTTCTGGTTTCTTTAGGGTATATTCCCAGTAGAGGAATTGCTGGATCAAATGGTGTTTCTATTTCCAACTTTTTAAGAGAGCCCCATACAGCCTTCCACAGTGGTTGCACCATTTTACACTCCCACCAGCAGTGAATATGGGTCCCAGATTCTCCACCACCTCACCAGCATTTGATGTTTGCTGCTCTGTTAAATTTTGCTATTCTTACTGGGGTCAGATGATATCTCATAGTTGTTTTCAAGAAGATTGTTTTTAGAAAACAATGCTTAAGTATATGAAACAACAGTTTTTAAATATTTGGCTAGAGAACTTCTGCTAAGTTTGAAAATAAGGCAAACTAGACACTATAAAAAAGACACAAGAGCCTGGCACTATGGCTCCTGCAAAGAAGGGTGGTGAAAAGAATAAGGGCTATTCTGCCATCAATGAAGTGGTGTCAGGAGAGTACACCATCAACATTCACATGCACATCTGCAGAGTGGACTTTAAGACGCACGCCCCTCGGACATTCAAGGAGATCCAGAAATTTTCCATGAAGGAGATAGGAACACCAGATGTTCACAATGATACCAGGCTTAACAAATCTATCTGGGCCAAAAGAATTAAGTAATTTCCCATACTGCATCCATGTACAGTTGTCCAAAAATGCAAGCGGATGAAGATTCCCCAAACACTGGTTACCAATGTACCTGTCACCACTTTCAAAACTCTACAGAGCATCAGTGTGGTTGAAAACTAATAGCTAATTATCAAATAAAGTTATCAAACTGTAAACACACACACACACACGAAAAAATTAAAACCAGCATGAGATGGTAACTCCAGAAGCCTGACTATCAAAGCAAAAGACTGAAAGTGGATCAGCATTTTGATTGGCTTGGAAACCTGATAATCAGTTTTGATCACCCAGGACTACATGAGCACTAATACTGGTGACTAGTGATCAGAAAAATATGACCCTATCCTTATTACCCCACACACATACTCCTGGTAACCAGAAGCATGGCCGTTGCCCATTCTAACTCTCACATCTCTCCTCTTATAAAGCCCTTCTCTGCCCAAACTGAATCAGTTGCTATGTTTATGCCCCCCTGCATTTGGAGGTATATGTTCTCTGCCTCCTCAGGCCAATGGATCATAGTGCCAGACTCTCTCCCTCACTCACCTGGCCAGAGACCTCTTGAGTGTAAACACCCTATTCCTAGCCAACACCTGGGCTGAAAGAACATTTTTCTAAGGAGATTTAGAACCCTGCCCCTAGTTAGCCTCTAGTCAGAAAAATATAATTGAAAGACCATGTATCTTGCTCTCAGGCCAAAGAAATTGCTACACAGACCAAATGCCCTGTCTTTAGCCTCCTGCTGTTGTTGTAGTTATGTGTTATTGAGTTGACTATGACTCATAGCAATCCTATGCACAATAGTTCTGAACCCTGCTCTAGCCTAAGCCAATTTCACTATCTCTGAATCAGTTATTGTTTCAATCCATCTCATCCAGGTTCTTCCTCTCCTACACTGTCCCTGCAAGCCTGTTGTTGTTGTTGAATGACTTCAAGTCCACCATGGGTTACCGTTATCACATTTGCCACACCAATGTCACAGTGTTTAGTATCACAGCAACCAAAAGTTACTTTCATACAGCAAATGGACAGACCCAGTATTATACTGCTTAGAATAGTGTTTGATCAAAAACAATTAATACCAGTCCTGAAGGCCAAATGTGTTTTTAAATATGAAGTCGAATTCTATCATTTCACACGCATTAGTGAGTCAACATTCCACCCTAATCCTCACCAGAACCAGCAAACAAGCCTCTGCAGAACCAAGCTGCTGCAGACGACTTCCAAACTGACTTCCAGCCCCATATTGCTGACCAGATGCATTTTTAAATAGGAGGCCGAATCACATCCTCTCACATCCATTAGAGAGTCAACATTCCACCCTAATCCTCACCAGAACCAGCAAACAAGTCTTTGTAGAATCTGGCTGCTGCAGATGACTTCTGTATTAGCTTGGTGGATAATCAATCTCTAGTTTGATAGTTATGATGCAGTCATTCTCTTGATGAGATCTGATCCTATGGTATCATTTCTATGGATGGCTAATCAGGTGAAAGGATGTTTCCTCAGGGGCATGGCCTGCATCAAATTTCCTTAACACCTGTCCTTCAGCTGTTTAGACGTAAAACTATCATATTGCCTAAAGATTAATCTTAGCCTCTAATACGAGCATTTGGCTTCTGATCTATTCATCTTGGGTTCATCAACTCCTGCTGCTATGTAAGTCAGAAGAAGCCTCTATGTTGTGACATCTGACTCATGAACTTAAAGATGTACTAGCCTCTACAAAGGCATGAGGCATTCCATAAAGATAACTTTCTCTCTTATAGATATAAAACTCAAACTCAATACTGGCAAGACTGAACCAACTCATAGCTGACCCTCAGGCACATTTTCAGGAGGTTGTAAATTACACAGGTGGAGGTTGTCCATCTTTGTCCCTCAGAGTCACTGGTGTATAGAGAACCCTATCAAGAGAAAAGAAAGACAAGGGAAAGGAGAGAATATCACCTCTTTCACTTGGTTGGGCCAGGTCTACGGTATAAGACAAGTTGGAAAAAACTTGCATAAAAATGTACAGTCACTTGTTGGAAGCTATTAAAACTCCAGTATACAGATTTTTATTCCTAAAATAACTTCGAGACCTTAGGAATATCCCATACCTTAGTAGTCCAATTGGCAAAACTAAAACTTTCAGATGTCTTCAGATTCAGTATCTGGAGGATGTTGCTTTCTGATTTTCTCTGTTTGAGGTCAGATTCATTTCCTACATTCCGAAGAGTCCGATATCGGCTAAGGATAATAGGATATTAGAATTATCAGGGTCATTCCATCATTTCCAAAAAGAGAAAAACCTCTATATTTTTTCTTTTTAATAAAACTAATAACAAATGCATACAGCAATGGTCTGTCAATTCACTGTACTGAGGTAACTTGGGGTTGCTGTGATAATGAATGCTGTGCCACTTGTGTGTAAAATGCCATAATGATCACCCATAGTAGACAGTGTTTGGTATACCTCCCAGATTAAGAAGGGCTTGGAAGCATGAGTGTGAGTGGCATCCACTTCCTAAACAACATGCCCCTGGAAATTCTATGAACTTAGAGAAACAACAATAGTTATAGAACAGGGTTCAAGTCTTTTGTTCATAGGGTCACTATGAGTTGTGCTCAACTCAACGGCACTCAACAACAGCAAGAACAACAATAATAAATGCAAGAATAAAAATAGACAAAGATATTGAATAGTCATTTCTTGAAAGCGGATATAAAATAAGTACCTAAAGAGATACTTTAAGTCATCGTTGTTATATGCTGCTGAATTGGAATTGACTCATAGATGACCCTCTAATAGGTTTGCAGAGGCTGTAAATCACACAGAAGGAGACTGCCCATACTTCTCCCTTGAAGCAGCTGGTGGATGCAAACCACCTACCTTTAGATTAGCAATGCAACTCTTTGCCCACTAGACCACCAGAACTCCTGTAGTCATCCCTCAGCATGGAAATGAAATCACTTCCTGATTCAACGTTCAGCCAAACAAAAGACAGCACTAAAAGATGACTGCATGGATCATAAAAAAACTATGCTGGACTCAATAGCAATCAACAACAACAACATTGAGAAGAATGGGAATCCCAGAATACTTGATTGTGCTCATGCAAAACCTATATCTGGACTGCAGGGCCATCACAGTAGTCAAACAGGACAGAGAGTTTGGGACAGAGAACTATAAGCAGGGGAAAGACTTTCTAAGTTTCTTAGCTGGCGTGCTGAATTGGGAAAATGAGAGCTGAGTTGAAGCCCCCCTGGACACAAACTGCTTAAGTTGGCATTCCTGATCTCCTGCCATTCCAGGGACAAAGGAAAACATTAGGCTTCAGGAGAGAAGATACTATCAGGTGAGACCCTCTTCTCCAGGGTCAACACTTTCAGGTGTGAGGAAGAGAAGGGACTGAAACATCCCTGGAAAAAGGTCCCTCAACTGGGGGATCCCTGCAGCCATGGGGCCATCCTAGGACCATACAGGACAAAAGAGTTTGAGACAGAAAGCTACAAGAAGGGGAAAGACTTTCTCCTCTTTCTCAGCTGGCATGCTGAGCTGCAAGAAAGAGAGCTGACTTGAAACTCTGCTGAACAGAAACTGCTCAAGTGGAGCAGCTAGTCTCCCACCACTCAGTCAACTCTTCAGACAAAGGAGGACACTAGAATTTGGAGGAGAGGGACTACAATAAGGTGAGATTCCTGCAGGGTTGCATTGCAGACCAGAGAAAACCTGAAAGACTTAAGGAAAGGCAAATTTTCCCAGAAAGGAGTTCTATTATAGTGAGTGGATCATTCCATAGATTCAACAACTCTTAAATCACCCACTGAATTAAAGGGGTAATTAATCAATAACATCATAAAGATAAGAACTATCAAAACTTACACACACACAAAACTTACACAGACACAATAGAAATGGCCTACCACTTACCAAGAAAAATTTCAAGATAATGTCAAGAAAGCAGCAGGCAGCCTCAGACACTCTGGAAAACAAGAACAACAACAACAACAACAACACACCAACAAACACCAAATTAAGCCTTCTACAGAAAAAAAAAAGAATACTGCTGACTCAATGAATATCCCAGAGTCAGGAAGGCAGAAGATATATGTTGATAGCATTCAAAGAACTACCAAAGAAGGTACAAATGATGGAAGAAACAATGGAAGGCAGAAATAAAGGGAATACCCTAGAAGTAGAGAACCAGAAGAAATATATGGATGTGGGTTTACTTGAACAGCTATAGAAGAAGGTGTAAATGACAGAAGAAATAATGGAAGCCATTAGGGAAGCAAAGAGGCAGGGATCAAGAAAAAAATATATTAATGAAGAGGAACTTGTACAACTATGGGAGAAAATGCAAAAGATGGAAGAAAGAATTTAAACTATAGTTAAAGAGGTATAAGAACTTAAAAAGTCACCACAAGACAAAGATGGTACAGCCAGCACAGTACTGGAAAGAAAAGAAATGCATGAAAATGCAATCCAAAATATTAAGACTGAAATGGCAGAAGTGTCCAACATGCTGAAGGGACAAAAACAAAACAAAACAAAACACCATATGATATAGAGCAGAGAATTAGTGTTCTGAATTTAAAAAGCTTCAGTGAAAAAAACAGCAGAAGAGAAATTTGAAATGAGACATAAAGAAAATGAAGAAACATTATAATCATGTAGGATGACATCAAAAAGTACAACATACATATGACTGGAGTTTCAGAATACAAGAGAGACAGAGAAGTCACTGAAAAAATTGTGGAAGAGGTACCAGAAGAAAACTTCTCAGGTATTATGAAGTACAAGGAAATCAACATTCATGAAGTTCAGCAAATACCAAATAGACTAAACCAAAAAGGAAATCATTAAAACATATCATAGTCAATTCTTCAAAATAAGAGATAAGGATATAATACCAAAAGCAGCAGGAGGAAAACAAAGTGTCACCTACAAAGGAAAAACAATTAGATTAAGTACTGATTTCTCAGCAGAAACCATGTGAGCAAGAAGACAATGAAACGGCAAATATAGAACGTTTAAAGAAAACAACTGCCAACCAAGGATCCTGTAACCCAGAAAAGCTGTTTGTGAAACATGAGAGAAAGGTTAGATCCTTTGCTGAAGAGACATAAGAAATTTGTGAAAATAAGGCCAAATCTGTAAGAACTTTTTTTTTTT